CGTGCGCATGACTTTACCAGTTACACATAATCTGGGTTACAAAAACTTCTCGCTCGAATGAAAAACTTGATTAAGAAATAAATTTTTTTTATTTTTAATCTGTTTCTCATTGTTTATTCGAGCTAAAAAACTGGTTAATTGATAGCTGAAACTCAACGATTCGTGCTAGAATAGGGTCAACTAATCAATGAATTAATCGTTAAGCTCAATGAGTTTTCATTGATAAACAATTAAATGCTATTTATTGAAATAAACTTAGTGCCACATGTCATATTAATCCTCTACGATATTTATTTAATTTAAATCTACCTTTTCTTTTTATTTATATTAAATGCGATAACTTTTTTTTCAAATCCTAAGCTTAAACAGATTTTTTAATTTTCTTAAATTCTTAGGGACTGAGAAGTATGTAAGTTCTTCCATTATAAGACATCTTAGACATAAAATCAATGACAAGACATCTTAGATCGAATAATAGGTTGAGACATTATCGGATAAAAATTGATTGCCCATAACTTTAAGTGATCGAATCGATAGCAGTCTTACAGTATTAAACGTATGGTGCTCAAAGCCAATATATGTAAGTAAAAAGCAAATAAGACACTTGAAAGATGGCATCATCTTAAATTTATAGATTTATTCTTCTCAATAAATTTTTTATCAAAATCAAATAATTATCCTTTACTTCAATTCATTCACTTCGGATAAATAAATTAATTTTACGATCAACCATTAATTTATTGAGTTTAATCTGAATAAATGATTTATGAAAAATCAATGACATGCTTCCATAACAGATTCGAGTAAATAAAAATAATTATATTTATAATTCATATGAATTATAAATAATCATTATAATATAATTGCAGATCTTATCAGATTTAATAAGCATATGTAATGGAAAAAAAAAATATTATTGCATTGGAACAATGTTACATCTGAGCAAATAATTTGTGTTGAATATAATACTCGAGGCAGTTTCTCGATCTTTTTTTGGGTCAAAAAATATTCCACTCACTGTAAATGCACGTCAAATTCGCAATGCCTCTCACTAGTCATTACAATGAACACCTAATAACAAATCGAATTATACGGTATTTATGATATCTTTGAAACGTCTAATCAGTTCAATCGTTATTCTTTATGTTCAACATTCCATATTGCTTATTTTCTTCTGACTAAATGTTACAACATTTTATCGGTTTGACCTAATTTTTACACTATTTCAAATTTCTTTTGTGATCGAATGATAATTATAAATGATAATACAAATTGAACTAACTTCGATAAAATAGTACAGTATGGCAACATAAATATAAAAATTTTTTTTTCTTGCAGAAAATGTTGTAGTGAATAAAATTATCTCACATTGAAAAAAAAAAATATTTATTTATAGTTTTTAATCTGCGTTTATTCGTTCTTTCATAGATCTGAAAGACGAAGCTAACGTCTTTTATTTCTTATTACTTGGAAAGAAACGTAAATAGAAGTAAATCACGTAAAAAAGAGAATAAAACTGGAAAAAATGCACGAGAGAAGAGTAAGTTGAGATAAATGTGAAAAGGGAAAAAGTAAGAGAATAATGAAAAAAAAGTGACGAAGAAGGAAGAGGAGAGAAAAAGCATAGAAGTTGTGTAGAGAGTAATTATGAAGAAAAAGAATTTTTACATTTATATCTCTTATACTGCAGAATAGAATTTGCAATTTTATGCTAAAAAATTACGAAAATTATTTTATTTATTTCTCTAATTGTCATAATTATTTGTACATCTCAGAAATGATATAAAAACAGTACAAATTCTTAAACATAATTACTGTATTTATAATATATAACTAAAATTATTGAAATAAATCAAAGCTTCAGCCATTAACGAAGTTCAACACTACTATCAATCATGTCTAATAACGGTGTTTTCGTACACAGTCACACTACAGCTCATGATGTGCGATGGTGAAACGGTTTTCTTCTAGGTGATAAACGAGCTCCAATACACGTCACAATCGTGCTGTTTCACCATTAATTCTTTGTAGTGTACATTCAACTTATTTTACATTCATTAAAGAATTTGAACCGCACTTTCTTCTTCATAAGATATTAATACGAAAGATTGAACAAAAAATTTTCCAACAATGTTTGACAGTAAACCTTGAAGTTGAATTAAAAGTTTTCGTAAAAACACCAAGAGGGAAAAAAAGAGTTTAATTGAAGCAATAGACCAGTCACTCGTGCAAAGAAAAGTTATCAACGTATAAATTAGATTTAAAAGATATTAAATTGAACAGAATATTTTTTTTGGCAATGTCAGAACAAAAATTAATTACTCCACTTTTGATGATTAAGATGAAAATTAATTTTTTCTTTTATATTAAACAAAAAATGTTACGTGTTAATAAAACGTGCTCATAAATGATGAAAAATTTATCTAATTTAATACGAAATAAATTATTTTCATCTCATAACTCTTTCGACATCCTTCTCTCCTCCTTCTTTCCGATAAAACTACCGAGATAAAAAATTTTAATATTACGTAATGTTGCTTATCTGTAATTTAGATAATTTGTTTTGATACGTCCCTCATCAACGTTGATGTAAAAATTTTTCATTTCACTAAATCATTTATTTAATTACCAAAATTATCATTAACATACACCTATCAGTAAAATAAAATTAAATAATGTATTATTTTGACAAGAGTTCTATATTATAAAAATTGATCAATAAATATGGTGAAATATATAAAATAAAACGAGTAATAAAACTTTATCGATAAATTCTCCCTAAATTATTCCCCTTAATATCCTAGTCTGGGAATATTAAGATTGAATTTGAAGTTAAATTTAAAGCGGTGTATAAAACATCAAAGAAATTGAAGGGTTTCAGCTGAAGAATAAAATTAAAATTTCGATTCTGGTAGTAAATTCATTATGACGAGTTAATGTTAAATAAAAAAAATATCTTCGAAATCCTAAAAAATATTAAATAACAATAAAAAAATAAGTGTACATGTAAAAATCATGTCTTGAAAATAAATAATATTATAATAATATTTTTTACTCACCATTTTGCAAATGAGTAAAGTCCAAAATAATTCACCAATGGCACATTTGTTTTTCTAGTCTACAAAAACAGTAATGTTCGATCAATATTCAAATGTAAAATTTATTTAAATCCACCAAAAAAAAAAAGAAAGGAAAAAAGGGTAAATTGCTTAACAGTTCAATTACTGTTACACCGTATCCCTGATGACTATTTATTTGCTCCAAAATGGTTTTCTTATAAGTAAAGTAAGTAGCTAAAATTAGCTCGTTTACTGATAATTTTTATCGACAAGATTGCCATTAAAAGCTGTAATCAACAGGAGCAATAAATCGTTTATAGACGATAAATTAATTATAAGTCAACTTGGTTCGTTCAAATGCACCGTTCATCCTCGTTTGTAGCGAATATTGCCTCTAGGTAGAATTCCATCCTCGATGAGAATTTGTTTGGCAAGGAATTTTCGAGGAGATAAATCTCGATGCACATCACGTATGTAGAAGATTTAATTTAAACGAACGTTTGAAATCAGATTGCTTGGCGTCAAGCCATATACAAGGCATTGTAGGATAGTATAGTCTCTGATCCATCGAGTGGAGGTAAAAAACAAATAAAAACAAAATTGAGGAAGAGAATGAGATACAAAGAATAAAGAATAAATATAGAGAAAATTGAAACTTGTCTCGAATATTAAATAATATTGCTATAACTACTTTTGAATAACAAATTCGTAAATAATAATTACTTTTTTTATTATATATTATGTGAGATTAATTATTTTTTAGCGAACCAACGATCATTACTGAAAGTAATTGCAAATAAAAATTTTATTTCAAAAAGTATACAAAAAAAAAATGAAATAAAGATTCCGTCAATTTCCAATAATTGCCTGTAATTTTCATGGAATTGAATTTAGAGAACCGGAAGTTCAGTTTAATCGTCAGGAAGAAATGCACATGCGCACATTTAATAAATGTATTGGGTTAAACTTCAGATTTAATTGTTCATCAATGGTTTTTTATCAAGCATAAAATTCATTTAATGAAAAATTTATCAATTGGTTTAATTTTTTAATCAACCAAAAAAAGCAAAAAAAATATCGCTAAATAAAACTAATAAAAGAAAATTTGTGATTTTGATTAAACGTTTAATTGTTTGTTATTAGATAGGAATAATTAACGGAAATTTCTTGAAATTTATTAATTTCATTTGAGTTAGTTATTAGCTAAAATTAATTTTTTGATTACAGTCATGAATAAAAAGTAATTACAACTCTGCCACGGAAATAAGATATTTTGCTTTTGAAATAACTAATCTCATTTTTGCTATGTAGGTATAATCAGATGTCAAGAATTTCATTAACATATTCAAGTTGAACATGAAGGTTTTATCATTAAATTTGATTCATGAAAAGTTTTATTATTAACTTAATTGCCTGATATAATCAATTTATAGACCTTTCAATCAGACTTACTGTTCACCTGAGGTTGGATTTATGAATATAACATTGCAATAAATGGATAATAACCAGAGCCTATGCGTGTTTCTGAAACGTATGTTTTAGTTGTATCCCCCCATTTATGTTACTCTGAATTAAAATAATTACTGACATTTCTAGTTGAAAAAAAAAAACGTCAACAATCATAAAAGTCAATTCATTTTAACTCTCTATAAATACCTTTCAGAAAAATACATTCAATTAATTGACTTTTAATTTAAAAAATCAATAATCGATATCGATAAATCAATGTTTGCTACAAGATGATAAGAAAATTGATTTTAATTGAAACAATATTTTTTTAAAGAAATTTCATTTATTCCTTTATTGTTTTGTTTATATTCCTAAAAAAATATCCATTTGATTTTATGATTAAATTTATTAATTATCTAAATAATAATGATGAAGAAGAAAGAATAAGAATTTATAAATATTATATGTATTATTAGCATATATATTACTTACCTTATATGTGTACTGATCAAACATCCTACAGACGTCGAGGTCACCACCGAGCATGGAATATTCCGAGTCCATGTTGATGATGTCTTCCTTCTTTGTTTTCTTTTCGTCGCCTCGAGTCCTCGAATAGAGCTCTGATAAATAAAAAATCACCCTATTTTCTCTTTTACCACGCACCAACACTTATAGAACTTGTTCCAAATAAACTTATTGTAACGGTACAAATTATACCGTCGCTCATCGTACGCATCTGTCTTTTTTAGTTTTTTTTTTTCTTTTTGAGAAATCAGAGTTGATTGTACTTTAATGTGACACAGACACTTGTCTCAGTTTGAGTTATTATTTAAAAAGTTTGTGAAAATTCTTTAATTTACACTTATAAAGTTACTAAAAAACTTTGTGCTGGATTTTGATGCACTTTGAAGTCAAACACATAAAAATGTAAAATCTTTCACATTCCTTCGATGTTGTTTTTATGAAATTTCTTATTTTCACAGGATTTTTATTTGTCATACACTTTAACTGGTATTCACTTTCTCCACTTAATAATACACTTTACGGTTTTGAACGTTTTAAAAAATTCTGTTCACATTACTTCACCGAGAGCGAATGAAAGCAAATAAAAACTGTTCGAAAAAATTCTAAATTATACAAAAATATTTTTTCAAGCGTTTAATTATTAAAAAATTTGTTCTTAAATGAAACTCACTGAAATTGACATCAATCAACGGTAATGAAATTAATATTATCAGATGTCAGTTACACATGCACGTTGAATTGATAAATAAATTAACCAATCAGTTTTTTTTGTTCAGTTAATTATAAACTAATGAAGTCAGTTAATCACAACTATTCAAAACAAAGTTTTTGAAAAGTTAGCACACCGCTTGAAACTTTCATCAAAGTAATTTAAATATTTTAATGACAACATAAATTTTTGATTTTGTTTTTTATTTCAAACACGATTTCACATTACTTAAAAACAACAAAGTTTAACAACCTTTTACAGGAAATATTCACACGTGAATACACTTAGTAATGACACAATTGGTTCGTCAGTCATATGGGTTGTAATGCTACACGGCAAATTCATGCCGCGATGTCATGTGAGTGATTCGTAATACACAAGAAAAAGAGAGAGCTTTGAGGACAAGAGATAAGTGTAGAGAGATGAATGTAAATAGGGTGGGATGAGGTCCAGTGGACGTGTGTTCAATCCAGTTGCGCCTTAGATAAGGTTAGGTCAAACGTTATGCCTTGTGGCTAGGTTAGTGCAGCGTGCGGATTGGTGTCCTGTGCGCGATGCGTGTTCTTTCGATAGTCGTCGTGGATGCAGTGCGCGGAATACATCACCCCACTCACGACTACCAACCTCCCCTTCCAATGCCACCGCACCTCTCCTTTCCCCTAACAACCATCATGTCTCCTACATCCTCGAGTCCAGAATTCGATGACTTCTTCATGCGCAGTAACACAACCAACTCAAGGTATCCCGCGCCGAGAATATTTTCTATAGCTTCCCTAAGTCAAAAAATAAGTTGCATTTCAATTGGAGTCGGCCAGTGGTGAGAAATACCAACTCTATCAAACATTCATAACCAAGTTTCCATGTCTTATCAGTATCTACTCAAGATTAGAATTAGAAATTAAGAACCAATTTTTTTACTTACTGTATGGTAAAAACAAATTTGTAGAATTTTAGCATTAACCGAGAAATTGTTTGACTCTTGATTAAAACTTATTCAACTTTCATTTAAATTGAAAATTTAAGATTTTGCAAAACTTTCCTCGAAATTGGTAAAAAGTAGTATTGTCTCATTTTAGTCAGGCATTTCATTCGTAGGAATTTTCCGAGAAAAATCGAGACAAACGTTAGCAATTTTCTCGAAACTTTTTTTAATAATATTTTATAAAGTATGCCATTCAATGTTGTCATGTATGTTATCTGGATTGAAATTCATGCTCCAAAGTGTATTACTTAGTCGAACAAAAAAATCGATGAGAATATGATATAGAGTAGTAATTACCATCAATAAATTTGGTGAATGTAACCAAGACTAGTAATTGGTAAGTTATAGCATTATAAATTGAACCAACGGAATAATTCAAAGAGGTTTATTCAATGTAAATGAGTAAAGTTTTTTCTGGGAGCTCAAAATGGTTTATAACTATAAAACAAATGCCTTATTTAATCATAACTATAGGCTTAATGGATTTAAAAAGAATATTTAATTTATTCGTAGTAGTAAAAATAAAGTTGAACGAAATATACAATTTAGTCAACATTGTCTGAATAAGTATTCATTCAACAAGAGTTGATTCATTAAGTTATCAAACATTGAAGTAAATTGTACGGCTTTGTAGACACACTTGTATAATATTCAAGCGCCAGTAATGATAATTTCGCTCACGGACTTTCTAGAATAATTATAAATTATAATTAATAAAGAAATATATTTCTTCTTTCAACAATCATTCATCCTCTCTGACTATCTTGCTAATTCAAATGGCTTCCATTATTGATTAAATAATTATCTATTAATTAACATTAATATTACTAAAATAATTGATAATATGTCTGACCAAATTGAAGCAATATCACTGATTTTCAAAATGATTTTAATTATATTGTTTATTAAATATTTATGTAAATTATAGTTTAAGATTATCATCAAGTAATTGGCTTAACTTTTTCACAGTTAATTAAAAGATGATTTAACAAGGATAATTTTTTTTTATCATCTTTTTGTACATTTAGTGGTTAATTATAAATAAACTGTATCTGATTTTTCCTTCCGACGCTTCATTCTTCACTTATTTTCAATTGTATTAAATTATTTATGGATGATGATATTAGCATAATAATTTATTTGCTCTCGGAATATTTTTGATAAAAGAAAATTATTCAATAGTTGCTGATAAATAGAAGCTAAATTCAACGATGCAGTTAAAACTGTATGCAACTAGTAAACAGTAACCAAATATTTATTCTGCCATCAGCATTCCGTCATTTGTTAGCTAAATCTAAACTTATACTAAATCTTGGTAACTATAAATAAACTTGTTCTAGTACAGTCATTCTAAAAATAAATAAATCACTAAATAAAACTTTTGTTAAGCACAAAACAATATCGTAGTTTCTACATTCAGCTGACGTGTATATGCAGTACTGTTTTTCTATGTATGTAATAGAAGTATAAAAACACGTGCATTGTTTTTTGAACACACAGAAAAATGTATGAAAATATATTATTCATTCTTTATAAATGATTAATGGGACTTGTTTTTTTTTTGTGGTCGTTTGAAAAAATAATTTAACAATTTATATTCACCATCAACGACTTGCTAGTGTAGTATTTTCCGTTATTACATTTTTATCGCATGAAAGTTTTAATTACACTTTAATTGAATCCTTGAAAATAGTGACGTTAATCTAAAAGAATTTATCCACAAGTATAGACTGGAGCAGTTGAGAGTGAAATTTACATCATGATTAATTTGTTGTAATTTTTAAATAATTTATCATGAAAGTTATGTTGAACACAAAAAAAATACTTCTTGAATAATTACTTATCTTAGAATAAATTGTACTTAATAATATACTGTAATATTAAGTCTAAAATGATAATTAAGTGAGTTAGATAAATTTAGACACGTTTATTATCATATAATAGATAAGTGTGCATATGACTATTATAGATAGTTAATGTTTTTTTATTGTTGACAATAAATTTCGCTATAACAAAACTTTTTATATGTCATCGTTAATTTTATCAACGAATATATTATACTCATAAACGTCAGACTTACGAGCACAACGAAACGACCAAGAAGCGTTGCTCCTCGGTCAATGCAATTACAGTCAGTGCTTCTCCCACATCGCCTTCGATCGATAATTCATTACTGCCCTGATTCTGAAAGCCCTTAATGTGAGCAACGTCAAGTTTAATTATAAACTTTGTTATCGTTACGCGGATATTAAATTCTATAGCAAACAAAAACTTACTTTACCAACTAAAATAAATATTAAATTTCAAATCAACTATTTTACTCTATTATTCTCCATTCATATTCATTATATTTCTAAAGCAATCACAAACTTTTATAATAACAGAAGAAAAGTATTTTCATTCATCATCTTAATCGAAATAAGTTGGTGGTATTATAATGAAAAATATTCGATTTATTATTCTGCTCTTTCACTATTCAATATGTGTGTTACGTTGAGTTACAAATGACACAATAGAGTGAGCAGTAATGTGGGAAAAAGAGCCATTTCACGCAACATGCCTGCGGGTATTGTGTGTGGTGATGATAGCAGCTAGACGAGTAGAATGAAAGTGATAGTTAAATGAGTCAAGTACAAGCTGAACATGCAAATGAAAAGTATAAAAAAAAAAGCATACGCATTGCCATGTTGACTTTGTACTTGGCGCCGATGGTATTCAATAGCTCGAGGGAGGTCATAACTGGCGTGATAATCAGACTCGTACGTGTGAAGCAATAGACATGAATCGATGCTCAGCACGTGCTCACTGAACACGTGGGTTTCATTCATGAAGTCCACGAGTATGCACCACCAAGGAGCGACACCGGAGGCTGTGTAATGCGGTGGTTGTTGACGACGTGCTGGTGTTGGAGAAGCGGTTCCGACAGTGTTGAAGAGAGAGGTTGGTTAGACGTCACTTGAGCTAGTAGTAGTGGTCGTAGAGGTGGCTTACAGACAGGAAGCCAACCCGCTTGAGTGAAGATGTAGTGTGGCGTGGTGGGTTTATACTATGCGGTGGGCTTTTGCCCCAAGCCAGAGACAGGAGTAAGCGAGAGCAAAAGCTAACCGACGGGTCAGGCGTGATATCTGAATTCTCTCTCCGTCTTTCTTCATCTCTCTCATTCCTTTCTATCTGAGTTACGCTTGCTTTTCTCATCCTTATCTCTCTTACACATTTAGTCACCGACTTCACTAGGCTCGTGCTCGAGTGCTCCATTTACTCTTACTTTCCGTCCTGGATTCATGACCCTCTGCTTCAAGCATCGATATCACTACCAAGTCCCTAGGATCTGCGTACTTTAACGCTTGTCCTTTGACCCTCAACTGCTTGTCACAAGTCACGTGACACAAACAAACTTGCTCTACAGATCCATTCATCCTTTTCCACCATGTGGATCAAATACTACTGGTAAGTGCAGACATGATCTTGGTCAATCATTTGTTCAAATTCCTCACCTACAATCTCTACATTTTATTCCTTCTTTTTATAGAGCTACTTTTTCTTCTATCTTTCATCCAATAATTATTTGCTTTTTATTCTTAAATAATATTTATAATCCTGACTAATATTTCCAGACTTCTTTTGGAGTAATTATTTAAAGAGCCTTCGATAAGGAAAATTAGTCAAACTACATAGATTCATTTATAATGAAGTTAAATAAAACTTACTATAAAGTCGACAAAAATTTAATACTATTGTCTCAAGTCTTTTATGAAATAGCGACAATATTGTTTCACTCTCTTTGTATTAATGTGAATGAAATGTAAAACTCAAGTCGTTAATGGTTTTATTCTAAACCTCTTAAACAAGAAAAGTATACGAAAATGGATTAATTATTGCCTTTTTAGTCTCTTCCATCCATACTTTCTTATTTTTTATCTTTTCAACTAATTTAATCTTTATATTTCAGTCACATCAAATTTTAAAACTCAACATAATTATTGAGTTTTGTTGAACGTCACATAAAAGTTTGACTGCTGAATTAAGCTTGATTGAACTGTCCCTCGACTCTCTCGATAATTTCATTACACGTTTCTTTTTCACTAAAATTTCAATATGACAGTTGCGAGAGAGACTGGGAGCTTAAATTAACAGTACAAGGGCAAGTATAAACACTCTCTCATTTACCAATAGGATTAGAATTTTTTATAAATACAATGAGATTGACGTTACTTGATTTTACTAATGATCAATATTATACATATGCATTTAGTGCTACTTTATTTTTATTGAATAAAGTAGAAAAAAATATTGATGATGTGAATATTGATTTTCCACTTGCTTCTAAATTATTCTCGATTTAATTTATGTATTACAATGGAGATTCAGTTGACTCTTGATGAACATTGAATAATTTTGAATAATTTTTTTTTTGTTAATAAAAATTGTTTTACACAAAATAACATTCACTTAGAAAATACTAAAAAAAAATCTCTACGAAACAGTATCGTATAATTAAATGCAAACAAAAAAAATTTATTTTCATTCGGGGATTTTTTTTTATCAGTGCTGATAATAAAGGAGAATAATTAAAAACTGTAAAAAACTTTTT